GTCCATTAGATGGATCCTACCATTCTTTCACTCCCTCCTCTATATAAACCCTCTCCTACAAGGAGAAGGGGCTAATGCCTTTTTGTTGGCTATTACTAATTTATTTGCAGGATTTCTAGCATTAAGAAGCAAGTGGGAAGAGAAAAAAGAAGAAGATTGGTGTGGAGAGCATAAAAGAAAAAGGAAGAAAGGTAGGGAATCTGGTTTTCTTCCTACACCTCTTCAATATGATACTCCTTGTGCTTCCCACATGAGATGGAAGACCATATTCTATCTATTCCTCTCACTTCTTTCTTTCTTTCCTTTTATTTTTGTTTTCTCCCTTGTTTCATATTGAAATACATGTAAGGAGACAACCATCTACAGCCTTGTTGATAGAACTTGGCTAATTATGGCTCCTTACAACCTATTAACCTATGTGTGAGGGGAAAAACCATCTACAGCCTTGTTCATGAAACTTGGCTGATTATAGTTCCTCATAGCATGATAATGCACACAACCACAATTTAAATGCCATTTGTAGCCTTATTGATGAAACATGCTTTTTATGATACCTATTTACTTGTTATGCATACAATGTTTGTTTCTTTATATGCTGGTTTTCTCTCAAACAAAGAGGGAATATATACCAGAATTTTCTCTCAAACAAAGGAAAATTCTATAGAAAAATGATACTTAGTTTAGTCTCTATTCATTGGTACTTCTGAATCATAATCAAAAGGTTTTCTCTGCCCCTAGCAGAGATGTAATTAAGGAAATATCTACGTGATTTCCCGAATGGGGCTTACCCAAATAACAAAAAACCTAGTTATTAGTCTAATTGGGTGAATTATGTTATGTGAGAAATTATACTAAAAGAATTTCCACTAACACTAATATGCTCACATACTTAGAAGTATAAATTATGTTTTTAATTGCTGGCTAAGGGGGTCGCTCACTTGACACAAGGGAGTTAATTCACTAGTTACTTCTCATTGCCTCAAGTTCCCTAATATAAATTGTCAGCCACCAAAGTATAGTCTATTTCTCCAAGATCCAAGAAACTATGCAGGCCATTGTATTACAGGAATTATACCAAGAAGACCAAATTGCCCTTTGGCCATACCATCTACCTCTGGCAGGGTAATCAATTAACAAATACCCTATGCTAAGTAGAAACCAAAGGTCAACTCCAAAGGTATCCATAGCAAAGAAGTCTTTAGATACAATAATCAAGCTTAAACCATAAGTCTCTAGACAGTTCATTAATCCCCAAAGATGCAAACCAGTGAAGACCATCATAATCCAACATATCTAGAATTCCACATCTAAACTAAAATGATTGCATGTAGGTTACCATACTTGGAATGATATACAAAATGTAATGGATGTAGAACAAGACAGTATAATGATGTTATCAAGGTTCAAAGATCCGATACAGTCCGATACTCCAAATTGGGTGACCCACCGAAACGTAACTATTTGCTTCCTTGGAACGTGACTAAAATAATGCATAAGGCTAGAACTAGAAGCATTAACAACACATACATGGAAACAAGTTCCTTCAACATAACCACCAAGGAACATTTTCATGTGCCTTTTTGTATCAACGTTCTGTTTACACTTTATAATAACAATGTTCTGTTTACACTTTGCATGTGTATCAATGTCTTTTTCTCCTTTCAGACTGGTAATATTGCACCTAATTGATGTATATCAAAGAATAAAGTAATGTTCTGCTTGTACTTTGCAAGACATTTAAGTGATACCATTAGTTGGATGTAACTTCAACTCCAAGTGGATATGGAACAAGGAAAAAATCAATAATTGTTTTTGTTCATTCATTTTCATTGTTACAATTAATCATAATAACCCATTAGAAAGAAGACCATCATACTAAATAATACAAAAAGAAAAATTGTATAATCAAATACCATTTTGTCCAGAGTTGAAGACAACATCCTCGAGGCTGTCAGCAACAACAACCTTCACAGGTTCATTGTTAACTTCAGGAATAGGTTCTGACTTTCTGAATGGATTTAAGTTTCCATCCTGCAACCAAAAGGGAAAATCATTCAAGTCATGATTAAAACCAAAAAGAACATATCTAGTATAAAGACCTTCAGATTAGAAGGGTAGTCATCTAATCTATTTCTAAACTTCATCATGTTATAATCACAAAAGTAACCATGGAAGTAATGAAAGAAGTAGATGAATCACCATATATTCCTCCAACCAAGATGCAATGTGATCAGGCTCCAAATTTGGCTTCAGGTATTTTGTGCCATCGCTGTTCTGTATGATGATGAGGGGCACTTGATCATCTTTAAGGCCAAAATACTGTCCATCCAAACAATAGAAGATTTGAGATGTAATTAATACGAGTGAAATAAACAAAGATGATTATGCTGATTAAAAGATATTAACTACCTGGAAAGCACCTTGACTGGCCTCAATGTCACCCAGGAGAAAACGAATACCCTTTCCTTTGTAATGTGTAGCAACATCATGATATTTTGATTTGAAAGATTCAACAAGCTCACTTGTGAAGTTCAAAAATAGCATGGCCTACCAATTCCAAAATTGTGAAATAGATGGGTCATTCCATGAACAAATTGTTCAATGTGAGAAAAGATGCAACTTAAATGTTACAGCAAGTACTATTTCCACCTAATTGTTGGAGACAAATATAGCAAATAAAGTGGAAGCAAAAAAATGAATAGAATAAACAGATGAATATACCTGTTTCACTGTCCATACTTATTAAAATTTTTGAGATATTAGTTATTTAACATGCAAATTAGAAGATGCCCAGAATTGACCACCACTTCAACTCCAAGCAGCTTGATAAAACATCCCCCTCCCACAACTAGGTTTGTCCTCTCTTAAGTTCTAGAAGATTGGGCTAAGTACTGCAGGTTTTAATTGTACATCTACATGAACTAAATCATTTTTATGACAGATAATAACAAATTCACCAATCCAATAACCTGTATATTTTTTTTTATAGAAATCTGATAATCCTGTTAACACAGACAAGAAAGAAGGTACTACCTTGGCATCAGGACCATTAAAGAATTTTATAACATATGGGTGGTTACTAGGGTCTTTGTTGAAAACTGTAACAATAGGCATGCTAGAATCTTCAACAAACTTCTCCAGAGCATCCACATTAAAGTTCTGCAAGTAAATAATATCCACGAAGGTAGAATTAACAAAATGGCAAGAGCAAGAAGTATTAAAAAATTGAAAAATAAAAAAAAAAGAGAGAGAGAGAGAGGAAATGAAGGTCTTATAAGTACCTGGGAATCAACAACAAATTCATCAAATGGCTTGAACAACCTCAATGTGGGCCCACTGACAGTTGATTCCCCTCTTGGAAGAAGCTTAGCATCCAAAGTGTGACCAAAATCATAATCAGAACGCAATTTCTCAGCTAATGCTGTAAAGTTCTCAAATTCCTCCCCGGAAAATTCTGAGAAAACCCCAACCTATATGAATATTTAGAAATGTTAGTCTGGATTTACCTTTCCCTTTTTCCATGAAGAAATGGAACAGAAAAGGGAAACTTCAATAATTGAAAAACTTACAACAAAGATCTTTTTGTCATCAATTAGATTATTGGCATCTTCTACAGATTTTATTTCAGCTGATGCTGGACCAGCTTGCTTCTTCAGATATTCAACTATACCATCAGCCTCCCTAGGACCTTTGTATTCTTGAACAATCTTTCCACCATTTCTTAGAATCTTAAGTGTTGGGAAACCCTTAACCTCAAACTCAGTTGCAAGTTTTCTGTTTGCTTCATCACTGGCATCAACCTTTGCAAGAACAACTGGAGGGTCATGGCTACTCAAAATTGAGGCAGCTTTCTCATACTGTCAATAAAAAAATATTTTAAGTTGAAATAACCTGTCAGAAAATGAATTATATAGTTGTTGTGTAAAACTAAAAGTAGCCAAAGCAAGAGAGGGAAAATATCAGCATTTGCCATCTGAGACTAGAAATTTGAGTACCTCTGGAGCAAGATTCTTACAATGCCCACACCTGTCAAAGTGACAAAGAAGATTAAAGAAACATATCAAAAACAAAGAACAAAATCATAGTTAACAATTTCAGGCAATGAAATTTTATTTTTCTGCAGGCTTAAAACTAAAATTAACACATCCATAAGATAAAATTCTTATATGAAGTCATGAATGATTAATCAGAAAATAGATGAGTCAGGCAAATAAAGAACCATCATACAAATAAAGAATGGATCAGTGGTAATAAGACATTACATAGAAATAATAGGTCAAGAGTTCAAGTCTTGCCGTTGGCATTTTACTTATCAAAAAATAAATAAATAAATAAAGAACCGTCATGGAGTTGTTTGTAAAAATTTTAAATTGCGGGTCAAAAGAGAAATGCCATGTAGCTTCACACAAAAAGCTACTAATTTTTTTCTTTTTCCTCTTTTATTTTCAGTTTTGACCTAGCATTTTGTTTCATCAAACAAGTGTTAAGCATGCTTAAGGGCATACAGACATAGGCACATGATACGGAATTCTAAAAGATACGTTTAAGGAATTCAAAATAATACGAATGTGTAGATGTTGGTGATCTCATGAAGAAAGCAGGAATCCAAAGATCTTCATTCTGGCATTTCTTTCATAACCCTAACATTCAAACAAACTCGTGTTTTCTCCAAATTGAAGCCCTAGATCAGAACGTCACTATCTTCTTATCAGCCTCATCAACAAATCTAGAGCTTGAGGTATACGCATCATTTCATGCAAAGAACAATATAAATTTAAAAAAAAAAAAAAATCAGCCCAATACTCCATTTTGCWAGCTCATGCTAAATAAATCAACTAGTATCATCCAAAAAACTTCATAATTTCCATAATATTACACATAAAACAACGACTAAGAACAAAAACATAAAAAAACAAACTGAAGAAGTACAGAAGCACAACCGCATTCGTCATACAAAGAGGAAGATCGATCTGACACATTACAGGGAATTCAAGAAACAACTAAACTTCAACAACAATTGAATCATAAATTCAAAACTAAGTAACAGGAATCTATACCATGGAGCGTAGAATTCGACAACTATGAAGTTGTTCTTGCTGACAGTCTCAGAGAAGTTGGAGTGATCGAGTGTCAAAACGAACTCCTTAGACTGACCTTCACCATCTGAGGCCGAAACCAAAGTGAGAGAAGAAATGAGCAGAGCAAAAGCGCAGAAGCAGAAGCAGATCGAAACCCTAGTCGCCATGGCCGGAGACCAGAGTTGCTTAGTGCTATTCTGATATTTCACGGGGGGAGAGAGAAAGAGAGAGAGAGAGAGAGAGAGAAGAGGAACGTGCAGAGGTGGGCCCCGAGAAATCAGATCCATTAAATTCGCTCTCAAAATAATAGGACTAGTGCATGACAATCCAGTATTGCTTTCATCATCTACCGTTCATTGCTTTGTCTTTTTATTAAAAATCGAATCGACGGTTAAAGATTCATCTCATTTTGCAATTCGGGTCTATATTCGATTTTTATCGACGTTTAAGGAAAGATGGGGCCCACTAGTTGAGTATGGTGAGATCTTGGGACCTATTGATGTTGATGGAGCTTTCGTGGTCATCTACCTGAACCAACAGAATCTGTGGTGCAGATATTCTCCTGATTGCTCCCTATCACACGGTTATTCTGGGTACGCTCACGAAGACTGTAAGGGCCGGGTGTACTGAAACATAGTTCACGGGGTAACATTCCAAAAATGGATCACGGGATACGGATTTCGAGGCACTTATTTATCGGAATGACATGGCTCTCAATTTTCTAATTGGAAAAGACTTTGCTGCCGTAAAGTCATGATACCATCGAACCCATGGCTCGGTTTGGTCCGGTCCAAAGCAGAACATGGGTAGGTCCAAATCGGTTTGAGATTTTATTGAATAACATAGGTGGCGTTTGATAAATCTGAAATCTAAAATCTAATAGTTAAAAAGATATTAAAATTGTCTGAAATCTGAAAAGAGGTATAGATGCTTTTTTTCTATTTTTCAGAGGCTCTGAATATTTTGGGTTGTTTGTGTTGGACCAAACTCTTAACATCTGAAATACTCTGTTTTTACTATTTTACCCCTACAAAAGACTATTTGATAAATTTGAACTCCATTTGTATTACTTCATATAAAAAGATTTATCAAATTCAAAATAATATTAAAATCATACAATAAAATTAATAAAATATATAAAAATTAAGAAAATTAATTAATAAATAATAAATAACATAATTAAATTAATAAAAAATAATTACTCACTATTAAAAAATAATAAAAATGACTAAACTTTATTAAAAATTAATAGTTATACTAATATTGAACCAACGCAAATAAAAATAACTAAATACATAATAACTACGAAAAATAATTAATAACTAATAAATAACATAATTAAAATAATAAAAAATAAATACTCACTACTAAAAATAATAAAAATGATTAAATACATAATAACTACGAAAAATAACTAATAAATAATAAATAACGTAATTAAATTAATGAAAAATAATTAGTCACTACTAAAAATTAATAAAATTAATTAAATACATAATAATTACGAAAAATAATTAATAAATAAAATGTTTAAATAACAAAAAATAATTACTCACTATTAAAAAATAATAAAAAATGACTAAAATTTAATAAAAATTAATAGTTATAATAATATTGAAACACGAATAAAAAATAATTAAATACATAATAATTACGAAAAATAATTATTAATTAT